AGGCTCAGAATGAGCTCCTTGATATGTGCTTTAGGACAAACGGTGACCTCAGGTGTTTTATAAAATATGTGAATCAGGAAATTGTTTATATATCAAACTGAATGATTGTTGTTCTCTACTTCAAATAATACATTAGATTTTAAAAATGGAAATTTTTTGTTTTTTTTCCAATTTTTTATTTCAAAATTCCGTGTATAACATGGATGCATAAAATCTTCTTTTTATTTTGGTGTTAAATTCTGTTTAAAGTACCAGATTATAATTAAAAATGTCTCCGGACCTTAATAGGTTGATGATTTTCTTTATTCGAACCCCGCTGATTTTTAATTGGTTACCCCTGGTTTAACTTCTACAAAAGTGTTTATTATTTATTAGTTTTATACTTCTACTGGAGTAATAAACGTTAATACTTTGGAAAGCTCTGCTAACTAATGCACCCTGAGCCCTCCCGTACTCTACCTGCTGTATGTCCAGGCTGGTCACGTCCAGGTGGACGATGCATCTCTCCAGGCTGTCCATCATGCCGTTATCATGGTAGTGGGCTAGGAGGTCCTTCATAACAGGCGTGGTGATGTGACCGAGCCGGTTGGCCACGATGTAGGACTCCAGGGACTCCAGGAAGACTCCCTTAGCCACCGTGTTCTCCAGCAGGCGCGAGTAGAGCTGGTTGAACAGCAGGTCTCTGTGAGAGTCAGCAGCACAGCAGAACCTTCACTCTGACATATAAAACCACCCTTTCTTTTTATTTTAAAACAGAAATCCAAACATCTGAATGTTTTTCCAAGCAACAGAACAAAGAGCATCTTCCCACCAACACAGAGTTAAACCAATAATAAAAGTTAAGAATTTAATGGACAAAACACAGAAAATCAATTATAATAACTTATTTTTATTATAATAAATAATAATAATATCTTTTGGATTTTACTTTATAAAAATCTTTTATGATTTTTGTGACTCAGTTTTCAAATACTGTAATCAACCACATCATCATGTTTTAGTAAGTCATTTAAATAATGATGAATTTGATAGATCTCTGCATCCACCTCCATATTGTTTTTTGTGACATTAAAATGGGTTTACTGTATGTTATGATATACAGGTAAAAGCCAGTAAATTAGAATATTTTGAAAAACTCAAAAGGTGTAACTTGTACATTATATTTATTCATTGCACACAGATTGATGCATTCAAATGTTTATTTCATTTAATTTTGATGATTTGAAGTGGCAACAAATGAAAATCCAAAATT